GTTTCGCAGAACGTACGAACGACAATCTGTTCTGTTATCCCGTCATGGATTTTCTATTTTCAACAAGTTGACCAACTCGAGCCCAGTTACACGGGAAGTTTATGGCTCGATACGGCGATTCGATTGCATTATGTTAAACAGCGCATGGCTACGTGCTTCGAATAGAATTGTGATGTTTGGTTTGGATTTTTGACAAAGCGTTCGTGCCTTTAAGTAGAGGATATAATTATACTCGTTGCGTAATTTCAACTATTAATTAAATATTGTACAGTCGCGGTGAAGTTGCACGCGTAAACTTGTGAAACTTTAAACATTTTATTTAAACTTGTTTCTTAATTATAATGATAATACATTTTCTACGCTCCAAAGCATATACATTGAATTATTTTTCAATTACCTTTTCTTTTTCTCTTTTTGGCAATTTAAAAATGTGACTCAACATAAGTGTGACTCGACATAAAAGTTTCTGTGATAAATACTGATGTCGAGTCACACGTACAATTGAAACGCGATATTTATTATATGCTCTGAAGCGTAGAAAATGTATTCTTTTTACTGTAACTAGGAAATAAATTTTATTCATTTATCATTTAATAATTGTAGTAATTATAGTAATTATATAACAACTGTGAATAAGTTTTATTCGCTATACGTAATAATTGTAAAGATCGCGTTTTCCATTTGTTTGCATGTTCTTCCAAAAATAAATGCAACAAGAATGCAATAATAAAATAAAATAAAATNTAAAATAAAATAAAATAAAATAAAATAAAATAAAATAAAATAAAATAAAATAAAATAAAATAAAATAAAATAAAATAAAATTATATAATAATAAAATAAAATAAAATAAAATAAAACAGGATTAAGCTTTCTCTGTCAGTTATCTTCCAGTTGATCGAAAGGAAAGCTTCGATCCTCTCGTTGGCCGCGCGCACACGCGAGAGCGGCGACAAATCCATTTTCGCTGCGAAACAAAAGCAAAAGGGCAGAGGGAGGGAGGAAAAAAATCGCGGAACATCGAAAGGCCAAGCCGGTGGAACCCCAAGAACGAACGAACGAACGAACGAACGTCCGGTTCTGTTGGATCGTGCGCGCACGCGAGAACGCAGAGCACCGACGCGGCGATACGATTCGAAAAAGGAACTGAGACAGTAACGGTACACCCGAGTAACGTGTGCCGTAATGCCAATTTGTTGGCTCAGGACGGCTTTCTTGCGTTCGCTGCAAGACGTACGCCTCTCTTTTTCTTCCTTCTTTCCATCCTTCGTCCGTGTCCACTCTCGACCATCTCGATCACCTACGTTCTTCTTCCCCCCGTTCTTTCTCCGTTCTTTCTGCGTTCGGTTTATCCCGACCGCGTTACACTCCCGAGGCACAATGGATAAATTGGACAAAGGGTACAAGTGGGGAGGAAGGATGCTCTGGCAGATGCTGCGCGTTGGGGCGGGCCAACGCGTTGCCAACCTGCCCATTGGACCCGAGGAAAAAATGTTATTGTGAGGTTCGTCGAAGATGTTTCTTTTCTTCTTCTTTTTTCCCCTCCCTGTTCCATGATTTCTCTCTCTTTTTTTTTTTAAATCTTTCATTTCTCTTTTTCGTGCTGGTCTTCGACCGCCTCCGGAGGAGTCCCAAGCAGAGACGTCCAGAGGAAAAGAGCGAAGAGCGTCGTGTTGTTGCTTCATGGTTGAGTTCTCTTCAATCTCTTGCGCTGGAATGACGTGCCACGCACGTCGAGAATTTATTTGTCTGAAAATTTCAATTACATTTTAAGTATGACCCAGGCAAAACAAAATAATGAATTTATTACTTTTCAATAGTTTCTATCCAGTGATGTCGTACCGACGAGTTCAAAAGGAAAGGGGTGAATTATTGTATACGGTTTTGGTCACTCGTTATGGTCCGCAGTCAGTTGCCAGCGCAAGTGGTTAAAGAGCAGGGATAGTTTTTTATATAGGTTTTACACGAGTTTCTCGAGTTTTATTGCGTTCGAATTGTTTTGAATTCGTTTGGTCGATAAAAAAGGGGGGAATTAAAATTGTTTCAGTTGGAAAACTAAACTGTTGTACGTGTACTTGCAACTGTAGAATTGCAAGGAAAAATTTTACATCGTTAGAGTGAGGAGCATAACTGATAACCAATGACAATTAAAAATTGTCGATCATTTAAACTTCACAAGAGAAGATTATTATTTGTGAAGATATATTTATAAACAAATATATTTATCATAATATATAACATTAATAACATTTTTATTTTTACAGATCGTTACACGATCTTTTTTCTTTACAAAGTGATATCAGTTCAAATTATCGACAAAATCTCTCGCTGTCATTGGCACAGTTACGCTCTTATTTGCTAGTGTGTGTTTCGAGATGTTTCGTGATGCACAGTAGTCGAAAACTTCAGCATTTACACTCTGGTTCTGCAGCACTGTCCGTAGACTTCGTTAGCAGAACGAGCGATAGAGGTTTCGCGTGATCGCGAGTGCCACGACACCGATTCGGAATTCGCATTTAACAAGGCGAGCACGCTCTCCATTTCGCGTGCGCGATTAGGTTCCTATATTTCCTCGCCACCAGGCCCCGGGACGCCTTTAATCTCTCTACCACCACCTCGCAACAGTGCGCGCGGATGATCGATTGCAAAAGGCTGCTGCCACGCTGATCCTCCTAACTCGATCCTCCTCGCGTTCCGCGCGAGTTCCCGGCCACGCTGACCATGAACTTCGTGTAATATTCGCGATAAACGCGGCCTCGGCCGTGTAAAACGATTCCGTGCGCCCTCGGGCGGCATCGTTCCGTCATCCGTGATAAATTATTTATTTATTCTTATTTATGGATCATTCCCGGACGTTCGCTTTGCGATCCAATGAGAAGAGAGATCCGAGGAAAGAATGACCGAGCCAAAGTTTAATCAGCTGATTAGTTCTGTCTTGCGATCGATATTTGCGTGATTTTGCGGTAGACTATGGACTTTTAGGAGATTTGAAAACTTGCAAAATTGTACAAGTAACAGAATTTCTACTTCAGATTCTATTTTTCAAATTATATTCACGAAAGTACGAATTCGAATAAAATTCTACGGCCTAGTGATTGGTATTTAAGTCGTTGAATGAAATTAAAACAGGACGCTTAGGTTTATGTATAAATTACATTAGGTGAAATTCAGTGTCAAGGTTAATTTTACGATTAAAGGTTTTTTTTTTTACATATTTCTCCATCAAATCGAAGATGTAGAGTTTATCTGTAATAGCCATTCTGCGCGTGTGCCTGTTGGAAACAAAACTCACTCTCCCCGTGGGCAGACACGGTTGTTCTCCCGTCGTTAAATCGTTCCATTATCGGCGATCGATGACGCGAAGTACACGCAACTATACACACAATGTAAGGAACGGATCGATCTGTACACCGTGTCATCCCGACAGGTTGAATATCCTTACCACTTGCGCTGGCAACTGGTTCGCGGACCATAACGAGTGACCCGTATACAATAAATTCGTCGCTCGGTTGTAAACAGTGACAGACAAATTCAATTATTCTGTATCCGCGGATTTATTATTACACCCCAAAATAAGTCGTTTTAAAGGCTACCTTTTGTATCTTATTTCTAAGACTTCAAACTATTATTTAAGACAAAAAAAAAAAAATATTTTTTGAAAATTTCAAACTGTCCCGACCCCTCAAGCTCCGTTCATCCGGCGACCAAATCCCGGAACGCCCTGCCACTCCCCGGTAGTTGTCGGCCAATATTTATCGCCGACGCAGCCGCTCGATATTTGCATGATAACAGGCTGCCGATCGTCATTATCTGTCGCTGCGATCCAGCCACTGTTGTAACTACGTATGTATTTATTATGACGTTTACGACGTTTACTAGATTGTCACGCAACGGTACCGGGCAAGCTTTCTCTGTGAATCTGCTTTCTCAGATGGCGATCGTGACGATCGGTGTGCGCGATTTCTTGCTGTAGTGAAACCATTTTTCGGTGGAACAGCGTCGATCACTAGTCGAGACACGTTTTTTAATGACACGTGATATCATTGGCAGTGAGTTAATCTCAGAATAAGATATTGTTCGCAACGTTTCGAAGAAGATCGGCGATCGAGATGATTTTTCTTTGTGTTTTGTAGAGTAAGAATAGGTTTGTTTGTCTTTTGTTGGCTTTTTTTCTTCCTTTGAAGTGGGCGTAGCTTCTTTTTTGTGATTTTGTAATTGAAGATCCTAATTTCGAAATTAGGACTATAGGATTTGAGGTGATTTTTGGCGAATTTCTAGTTTAGCGCATTTTCTCAATTTTGGCTATCTTTAATAAGAGGTTCGCCTTGTCACTAAACCAATCAAACTCAAACTGAGGGCAGGGATTGAAGAAGTTGTATAATTCTTGTTACCTAAAAAAAAAAAAATGTTATCATATTACAAAAAATTATAATTTTATCAAAAAGATTATAAGCCAAAATTGAAAAGAGCCGCTAAACTTATTGTTAGAAATTTACCCGATTTTTTGATTTTGCGCCGCGGGAGAGACAAACGAATGAGAGACGAACGAATGTTTCAAAATAAATATAGTATGGTTAAAGATAATCTTGATTTCTTTGATAAACGATAGATTCGTTTGTTCTTGAGACTTTCTTGATTACGCTGTTGATGATTGATTGATCTCAAAATTCTCCAAGATTCTATCTAAGTATTATCAACGTGAAAATATTATTCAACGTGAAAATCATAATTCAATTTTCTGAATGTGTCACCGTTTTTATGAACTTCAAAATGCAAGAAGCGTTTAATTAATATACCGTCTGTGCGTCAACGTAAAGTCGAAAAGCAGTACTTCACTGGTGAACTTTGCATATTTCCAACGACTTTCGCAAGTTTGTAAAGCCGCTACACGATTGCTGTGTGACTGATCTCTCTCTTTGTACGGCAGATTTATGGGCGATCGTCAGTCGTAAATTTATGAAAATATCTACTATCATGGAATGTTTAACTGTTCGTTTCAGAGCTTGAATTGGTCAAACTGCCGGAAGATATGACTTTAGCTGGATTCACGCCGCTGATGTCAAATCCTCAAGATCCTTGTTACGCCGAGAAAAACGAAGATATGGTAAGCCATTGTAAATTTGTATAGTAATGTATATAATATTTATATAGATTATATTTATAAGACATTACTGCAGATATGTGACAATTTATTAATGGATTAATATTATATTTATAAGACATTACTGTAGATATGTGACAATTTATATATAATTTGTGTCAATTTTGGGAAAAAGTTTCATATAAACTTTTTTAATATTTCGTGAAATATTAATCTTTGGAATTTTCCAATTTCACATCTTTCTACTTTAGAAGGCTCAAGATCGTATTTTTCATTTCTTTCTTTATTTTAACACTTCAAAGTTTTGTTTAATAATTGAATGATGACGAAACATGTAATTATATATATCTGTCTGATTTGTAACATTTTTACGGCGGGCGTCGCATATGTACTTGACTTTGGTTAACAAAAATATTAAAATGCAACCGTATCAAAATATTCTACGTACAAGTCATTACAATTTAAATGATAATTTGAAACAAATAGATTCGTGCAATTACAATTCTGTCCGAGATAGAAATTAGTATTAATATTGACAAGAATATCCCTATTTTTTAATAGTTAATGGAAGTAAAAGCAAGAAAATTGAAATATCGAGAACCAAAAATTAAAATGGTACTTTACAAAGATTAAATAACACGCCCTTTACGATATCTCAAAGTTTACTCGTGTTGTTCGTCGAAACATGTTTCTCCTAGTCTTCGAGAACTTTGAGATCGGTCTTGGTCGTCGACTGACGACTGAAATTTCAAAACAAAATGCGCGTTTTTCTTTTCGGTAATCCCTGACTCGTATCGTTGTTCCAGGAAGTTGCTCAAGTCTGCCTCAGGATAAACAAGATTCTGTTCTTCGGCCAGTCGTTCCTGTGCGGCCTCGAAACGCCGGTATTGAAGTTGCAGAAGAGCGAAACTGGCGTCAGCGAGTACGTCTCCGTGGTAGAGGCATCGAGCACGAGTACGCCGAGTTCACCGCCAGAACAGGTAAGCTATCAACGAACTCGGGAAAAAGATCAATAACTCGCCATATAGTAATAGGAACTCTGTTCAATTACGAATCGAGCATGAGCTTCGTGCAGATGTTTCAGACGTTTGTAGATGATTCAATGGTTAGAAACACACTGCAGACGTTTGTACAAATGTACACAATTGTGATATATTGTTTAAGAAGTATGTGTAGAATTCAGAGATTTCTTACAACACCTACCAAGTGTTATAATAAGTATACTTTAGTATACTATATTTATACTAAATTAGATATTTATATATACTATATTTGTTACAACACCTACCAAGTGTTATAATAAGTATACTTTAGTATACTGTATTTATACTAGATTAGATATTTATATATACTATATATACTATATATTAGATATTTTATACATTTGTACACATTATGATTCAAATTTCCTGTGAGAGCGTAAAAGTCTGCAGTGTAATGATGCATATTGGTATCAAGATTCCAGTTGGAATCAATTTGTTTTAATAATAATTTATTGGAATATTATTATCACAAGTTACAATTATATAATTATGGATGTTTTTGATGAAAAGAACCACGAAAGATAACAAAATAAAATGCTTTATCAAGTTGCACGTTCATCTTTAATATTACCATATATTACATAATATTATTGATGGACCATTTTTTCTTAGTCTTTTAGTTAATTATTTATATATATATACACACACACACAGTATATTTATATATAAAATATAAATATAAAATAATATAATGTAATATAAAAAAGTATAAAATAATATATAACATTTATATTATATTTATATTTATATATACAGTATAAATAAGTACGGAACTCCTCACGAGAGGGCGGCAGAGAACAGTTGGTAAGAAAGTGTCGGTCTGTAGTATAAAATAATGTAGCGGTCTGTTGCATAAAATAGTGATAATTCGGAAAAAGGGGGAAATTTTAACAATCAGAAGGTTTTGGAAAAGAGAAATAAAAAAACGAAGAAAAAGTGGGAGCGTTATCTCAGGTGGAAAATAAGAAGTGCCAGCGGTGTAACGGGAGATAAAGAAAAGGAAATTAAGTGAGGTTAGCACAGCGCAAGAGAGAAATGGCGGGAAAAGCAGAGCGGGGACCAGAAGTAAGGTAAATGATAGAGAGGATAGCAAAACACTAGAAAAGTAATGGGATATAAATAAGCACAATATTGCTTATAACGAATATAGAATATAGAATATTTTTTTCTGTTTCGTTTCTCTAACGCGTGCTGTGTTTCTCAAAAGACTTCGACCTACGAAGGCATTAATCAGGCATTTAAGCAGAGAACAGAGCAGTGAATCTAAATGAAACAATTCCATCAGAATCGTTCAAAGAACACCGTCGTGTCCTCCCCCTTGGTCTCTCTCACAATGAGAATTTCATCGCTGCCTTTCCATTTTCTCGCGACGCAAAGAAATGCGCTGGCAATGTCGTTTCGCGGATCTTTTTCGTCGGAAGTTTGTCGCCTGGCGGGAGGAGAAAGAATTTTGTTTAAGAACTTATGGCAACGATCTTCATTCCTCGTTCTCCTCCCGCTTTTTGAATTATTCATTCGCCCATTCCTCGTTCGTTCGAGGGCAGATGGAATTTTGATGAAAGGGCGGGGAGGGGGGGGATTAACGCATCGTTTAGGGAAAATTGAAGGGAAGGTGAATTTGGTAAAACGAAGGGAGTAGGTTATATAGGCAATATTGTTACCGAGAATGCCTGGTGATTGAATTGGGAAAGACAGACAGAGGATACTCGAATCTCGAGAGTTTATTTTTCATTATTATTCATTATTGGATTATTATGTAAGTCAAAGTTGAACTGTTTACTCAATCCTCAATCTTACAATGCTAAAGTTTATGTTAAAGTATCTAAAGGAGCAAGGTGTTCATTGCAAAAGTCGAAATTTAAATTTCGATTCTCTTTTAAAGATTTCCCCAGGCACGATTAAAAAACATGACCATTCTCGCCAATCTCGGCAGAAATATACGCAAGACGGTTTACCCGAAGCACGGTGGAACGTTTCCTTAAATTCGTTCGTTTTCACGAAACGCGCGTTGCGAGCAAAAGGAGAGACGGAAGGAACGAAACAAAGTAATTTACGGAGGAAATTAGTTCCGTGCCCCTCCTCTCGTCCCTGCGCTCGTCCCGAATAATGAATTCAAACGGAATCCTTGATTCGCTTTCAGAGCGACTCGGAGCTCCTGGTGGAGAGTTACAGCGAGGGTGAGGACGAGCCGGTCTCCACCCTGAGGAGATTACTCTCGTGCACAGACGTACCTGACGATGGCTCCGCGCCGGTGGCCGCGGTCGAGATAAGATCGCTAATCGAGAGGAAAGAGGAGCTGGAGAGGCGGCAGCGGAAACAGGATCGTCACAGGCAGCGAATACAAGTGAGTAGAAAACGAAAGAATATCTCGAAACTACATATATCGTTCGATCGTTGACACTTATTTACAGGGACAGATTTTCTCAATTTGTGTTTCTTTAAAACATACATGCGCAACATACAACGAGTCGAAAAGTCGAGGAGTACATTTTTTTTTCTTTTATTTAATTTTTGACTAATTTAATTTAATTTTTATTTAATTTTGACTAATTTAATTTAATTTTTATTTAATTTTTGTCAAGTACATTTTGACTAATTTAATTTCATTTTTATTTAATTTTTGCCACGTACACTTTTCGTGAAAATAAGAAAGAAATTTCGAACGAAAAAGTTCAAACTTGAATTTTGCACGTAGGATTAGCTGATCTTAAGCTTGATAAATTTTCAAACTCGATTTCCCCAAAAAAAAAAAAAAAAAAAAAAAAACGAAGCCTCAGACGAGAAAAATTTTATTCTAAGTTTTCGATTTATTATTATTTTTCGTTTATTTCTGTTTTTAATGAGAAATCGCCCTCGGAATATCTTGTATATATGGTTTTTTTAAAGAATATAAATGCACGAATAAATATAATTTTAATGAACATATGCGCGTATGAATATTTGCGAAGCATATTATAGTAATTGCAATTAACGTGCTCGAAAATTTCCGAATGTCCAAGCGTTGAACGTTTGGATTGCGGCATTCTTCGTCAAAATTTGGTATCGAACAGTGACTCGAGTCATGATTTTTAATTGATTGTACGAAGCAGAAGGATAGAAGTGAACAAAATGAGATGATAAAATGTCAAGATAGAACGTGTGACAATTTTACAATTGAAATCAGATTTCGAAGTTAAATTTCGGCGACCAAAAGACTATCGTGTCAATTTAGAAGGGTATTGTATTAATTTAACGAATTTTACTCGAGAGGGGAAGAATTGAATTCGAAGATCAACATCAGACACTAAACTCTTGACATTTCATAGAGTCATTGTTTCACTTATCGTATTCTTTTTTTCTTTTTCTTCTCACACTCATTTTGTCCTGACGCCGTGTTAAATAAAGACGTCAGCTTGTATTCGATGATTCCGCGCTCGAGATACCGCATTCGCTCGGGTCGTTTCCCGTATCTTCATCATTCGTTCGCGAGAGGCTAGCCGACAAAGTGGCCAGTGGGACGCGTATCGTTGCCCCTAAGTCGAACTAAATCAAGAGATTACCAGAACACGCTGGTCGTGCACCGTTCCCCTTGGTCGTTCCTTTCGTTTCGTTCCTTTTTTTTTCTCTTTTCTTTTCTCCTTCGTACGCCCTCTTCTCCGTTCCGCTCTCATCCTTTTATTTCGGGTCTCTTCTTCGTGTTCGTCTTCTTCTTCTTCTTCTTCTTCAGTCGCGCCACGCTGATCGCAGCACGCAAACCGGCCGTTTTTATTTACGGCATCGATGCTCCTCCTTTTTGCATATTTATTATCGAACCCCTGGCCGAGTCTGGATTTTGAAACGTGGTTTCTGGAGTCCTACGTCTCGCTTCTTTGTGCCTTGGAGGATATTTTTCAAGCGAGTGAGAGCGCAGGAGATATAGTGCATTGATTGTAAGGCCGGTTTTACGTTACCGTGACTTTTCGTGATTAGGCGATCGATGAATTTATGTACACTCCCGTTCATAAGTCACCGGACACTTGCTTATTTCGATCTAAACAGTTACTAGAGCACAGATATACTTTTCCGAATTAATTTTATTGTACAATCTTGTCATATGTACTCTATTTACTCTATTTTATAATAATACTTGGAAACAAAGTTGATATTTAACGTATATGATCTGAATAAATATTCCAAAGTATGTCAAAAATATGTATATATATTTAAAAAAATCGAATCGATGTATTTTGGGATGAATTGGACAGAAGCCTTCAGAAATGTGTCCAAAATAAAAATAAAAGACTTATGGAAGAAATTAGAAGAAGCGTGGAAAGAAATTCATTCCGAAATATTGTTAAAATTGAACGGAAGTGTGGTTATTTCTGGTCTTCATATCTGCACAAAGATATAAGATACGTTATATACAATTTGGTAAGATTTTTAACATATACATATGTCAAACTGTTTATATGTCAAAAATCTTACCAAGTTGTATATAACGTATCTTATATCTTTGTGCAAATATAAAGGCCAGAAATAACCGTGGCATACTTCCGTTCAATTTTAACAATATTTCGGAATGAATTTCTTTCCACGCTTCTTCTAATTTCTTCTATAAGTCTTTTTGTTTTTTATTTTGGATACATTTCTGAAGGCTTCTGTCCAATTCATTCCAAAATACATCGATTCGATTTTTACATATTTTTGATATACTTTGAAACATTTATTCAGACCATATACGTTAAATATCAGTTTTGTTTTCGAGTATTATTATAAAATAGAGTAAATAGAGTACATATAACGAGATTGTATAATAAAATTAATCCGGGAAAGTATATCTGTGTTCTAATAACTGTTTAGATCAAAATAAGCAAGTGTCCGGTGACTTATGAACGGGAGTGTTATAATGTTGCCGGTTTTGTTAACTATTTGCGAGTTTTCGTGACAGATAAAATTTAAATATTGCCGATCATTTTTCATCTTACTATGTATATTATATATATTGTATTCACGGTGTATTAATTTCTCTCTATATATATTATATACTACACTAGGTTGGCCAAAAAGTAACCAACTTTTTGTATGCAAATGAAAAGTGAATTTTTCATGAGAAACAAAAGCTTTATATATTGAACATTCGATCATTTTTTGATTCCGCGTTCAAAGGAGTTCTTATCTTTTTCGACGAGGAAAAGGTTTAAGAACGACTTGATATTTTCATCGGTAGTAAAATTTAGTTTGTTAGAACGCTTCACTCTGCATATCAGATAATTCTTTATGAGCTTGTATAGCGTTTTTCTTTTTCGCGAAGTAATACATATATAGTATATAAGTAGTATATATATATAATAAAATATGATGAAAATGATTGATTTTATCGCACTCGAGATTGAGATTTACGGGGTGCTTAGTTGGAATTTTGTAAGTGATCAAATTCCAGTCACGGTGGGAGTCTTAAAAAAAAAAAATAAAGAATTTATTAAGTTAGTTTATTAAGAGTTCATATTGTAAATTTATTAAGAGCTTATATAATGAATTTATTAAGAGTTTATGTAGTGAGGTTATTAAGAGTTATAAAGTTCAAGGTACTAAAGACTGATTCTTTATTTTTCGAGTTAGTTATTTATACGAGCCACTGTCGCAAGTTTACCTCCTTGCAACTGGTTCGCGGACCATAACGAGTGACCGAGCCGTGTGTAAGATATCATTGGATAGAAATTATTAAGAAGTAATAAACTTATCATTCGTTTCGCCTGGGTTAGGTTATTTAAATGTACTTGAAACGGAGGAAATGTTTGCAATTCTTGAAACGAAAAGTTCTCGACATGCGTAACACGTCGTTTCAACGCAAGAGGTTAAGAAGTAGTCGGATTGCTCCTGGTCATAGGGCGTATGACTGGTTTGGAGCAAATTCATGTCACAAGTGTTACCCTTGGCCTCAGCAGGATGTTATCTGCGTCCGCGCCCCGTCCATTTTTTCGTCCTTACGCGTGCAGATGGGCGGATGAGGGGGAGGCGAAATAAATCCCAGCGGTATCTGTTCAACTTCTGCCGAGCGGGTGGGTCTTATCGAGGTCGGAGTTTCGAACTCGGTGGAAATAGGGAGAGTATAAAGTTAGCTCGGTTGGACGTGGAGACGATAAAAGGGACCAGGGTGACAGGCGTGCCGAAATAAAAAGGACACCTTTTGATATCCGGTGTGGTACACGGCTCTCGGTAGTCCTTTCGATCGGATACTGTTCGGTTCGTTGTATCGCTGCTCGTTCTTCTTCCAGCCCCTCGAGTTTTTCGTTCGTCCGAAATGTCTGTTTTTTGGCGGGGAGGGGGCTTTTTTTTTACGAACGTTGCGCTGATAAGTTCGCGTTGCGATTGAAGTATCACAGTAGGATGTCAGTGTTATTTAACCGTAGAATTATTGTGCCAAGACGTGCTCTGACTCTAGTATCTGATTATTAGAATATTTCACATGATCCATGGAACGAAGCCAGAACGTTAATTTGTATATTGGAGGCACAGGATACTCGTGAAAATACGTCGAAAATCTTCCAAGTATCGTATTCATTTCAAAACTGAATAAAAATTGAATAATACTTTGTGTACAACTAATCCCAGTCAGTATTATTAGTCTGTCAATAATGAAATGCTAAAAATTGCTTCTTTCAAATATTGAAATATTAAGAATTGCGCTAATTTTATTATCATTGTCTACGAGAATAAAACCTGGCCCAAGAATTTTGAGCCAGGAGTACACGTATTTATTTTCTATGGATGCAACAAACTCAGAAATATCAATGTAAATTACTTCTTATTAATAGAATCTCTGTACGATATATATTCTCTAATATCGAGATATATTCTACACTGTTTCGTCCCCGATATTTCCGTGCGTTTCAGCACGCGTTGCCACTGCGTGTCACAGGTCGCAGTAATTTTCGCCAAGTAGGTCCACTTAAACGCTCGTTACATTTGCATAGCCGGATAATTGAATGTATAATTCAATGGGGGGGCCAGGTTCTGTACGCTCTGCGTCACTCGCTAACTGTTGATTCGTCGGATTCACAAGGATTCGAAACGACGGCACACTGGGAACGAAATTCCTCGCGACCTGTCCCGGTTACTCGCGTTATCTCGCGGCCTCCGCGTATTTGCTCACCTCTTAATGCGGCGAAGTCGCGTGCGCCAATTATCTCTCCGAAAGCAACAACCTGTTCGCGGATATATGTGCGTACATATCTGGAACAATTTCCACGTCACCGAGATAGTGAAACCTGTTCCACGTGAAAATGGAACCTGTGTGTCGTGTGTGTCGACGTCTCTAATTACGTCATTCGTCAAGAGGGCGCTCTAAATTCGCCGGTGTCTCCGGCCGCATTTTAATCTCTTCAG